AATCTGGTCAATACTCATCACAAGTTCACTGCCCATATCGCCCTTCTACCAATGGTCAAAACGAACAAATGAACGGTAACCTGATGCGTGCTTTGAAGAAATTGTGCATTGACAACCCAATGACTGGGATGATCACTTGATGCCGTATTATATGCTTACCGAACTAAGGCTCATTCCGTACTCAAGATATCACCCTTTGAGTTTATGTTTGGACTGTCACCACTCTCCGCTCGCCAAGATCCATTACAGATGATGGGACGCGCCATGGGAATGGAAAGGTTGACTGAGATATCTGATCGAAACAACCAAATTCAAGATTACAATGCCATGAAAGGCGAATATGACTTGCAACCCAGGTTTCGAAGGAAGTTCTTCCCTCTCGGAACTAAGGTTATCCGTGTGAGACACAACAAGTTTTCGAAAATGGACACCAATTTCAAACCCGAAGTTTTTACAGTAACAGCATCGTTCAATAACGGTACATGCCAACTTGCGGACGGTGTAGGTCGATTGCTCAAAAGACGTGTCAATATTAGCTTTTTGAGACAAATCCACCAACGTGGTTAATTTGTCTGAGGGGAGCATGATTTGTGATGACCTGAATATTGAACTTTTGCAATCTGCACCTTTATTTTGAGATTCATTATTTTGTCATTATATAAATTTACGTGTAACCAAGAGTGTAATTCTTAATTACAACTCTTTCATTCACTTTCATTTCTCCCCATTTTTCTCTAAAACTTCTAAAAAACACACATACAACCTCAAGACTACTTTTATAATTATCACTTTTATTACCAGCATCACTTGGTTAGTTTTAATTATAATTTTCAATCATTAGTTACAAACTTATTAACAAACAAATAAAGTTGGTATTATTCTTTTAGTTAAAACAACAGTCCACAAATTATATCTATAATGTCTGAGTTGTGACTCAAGTGGAAGCTTCTAGTATTTGAGGTCGTAGCCATATAAGGGGAATGCCAGATATGGTAATGATAATCAGATAAACATCTGACTAATAATTTCCAAAACCTTCGAGCACCTGCTGGTGTCTTCTGGCCGCTTTCTTCACATTGGGCTTAAACCTAAGTTTGGGTACGACAAGAATGACAACTCCCTCTCTTTCCCTTTGTGTTTACCTTGAACGACGAGACCAACAAATAAAAGAGATAAACCAATAATTAACAACAGAAGACTGTAAAGACTATTGTAATTATAGAGAGATAGACACAAATAGAGAGATTATAACCTTAGGCACAGTTCCTTCAAAAAGACAATGAAGATATATGTAAAAGAAAATTTATATAAAAAAAGTTTCGATTATTTTTTTCTTATTATTCCATCTAAAGTTCTTTACGCTTTTATACTTTCTTTAGAATAAATTTCTACAAAGACAATTGCTTGTCATTAATTTAGAACAGATCAAACTTGCCCAAAAGCAATCACGTTTGAAATGTCAAACAGGAGAACAATTAATACAATTAAATTATAAAATTCAACAGATTCAAACTGAGATGAACTGTCAAATACAATAAACAAAATAAAATAAAATAAAATACACAATTAAATCACAGCAAAATATCATGAAACAAAATACGGAAGAAGTAGGACAAATAAGGAACCAAAAAAAAGTACAACAATTGAGATCCAGACCAAAAATTGACACACCGATCAGTGGTTTTGACTCGAATCTGATTGGGTCTGACAGAAGACAGAACCATTGGCTGGAATCTTTGGAACACCATTATACCATCAGACCTAGACCAAATCTCACCAAACTTTGTATGTACTTTAAGGAACATCAGAGACATGTACCATTTCAATTAGAAGATTTGTTAACATAATAGAATCACCAGAAAAAACGCGAAAGAAAACAAAAAAACAAAACAAAAAAACAAAACAAAAAAACAAAACAAAAAAAACAAAACAAAAAAACAAAACAAAAAAAACAAAACAAAAAAACAAAACAAAAAAACATGCACACATAACAAGAACAGTAGTCTTCGGTAGTATAGTGGTGAGTATCCCCGCCTGTCACGCGGGAGACCGGGGTTCAATTCCCCGCCGGAGAGTTTGTTTTTGCTTATTTCTGTCTTTTTCTTTTTATGGCTTGTTTTGCCCATTATATCATGGGACGGGGTTTGACTTTTATACCAGCGATGTATAGAAGAGTTTATACAATAGAATCCAAAGCAAAGGAACAATTGTATGTAATGATCACCATGTTGTTAAGGTAACGAACCTTTATGTACATGTCTTTGTTGTGAACATATAGAATCTATATGCATGTGATAATCTGACATTAAATAAGTCTTCAATTACATACTAAAATATATCATAATCAATTTACATCAGAAATAGACATAAAAGAACCTCTTGTACTGAATATGGCAATGTATCTTTTAATAGATCAAGACGTATAACCGAAATCTATAATTTACATTATTTAATTAATTTAAAGTAGTCTATGATAATAGAGACTCAGTCATTTGCATGAACTCTACTATTACTTACTCCAACATCTCTTCATTTATAAATACCTAGTTAGAAAACGATATATTTATATTTTCTGGGATAATAAACCTATACAAGTTCTAATCGACTTCTTTGTTTTTTATCTTCACTCTTACATCACAACAGTCTTGAATTGAAAGAGAGGATAAAAGTTCAAATAGAAATAGTAAAATGAAGGGTCTTCCTATGTCAATATCCAGGAACTAAAATAGACAGAAAGAAGTATTCAAGCCAATACCACCGGCCTAATAAGTAACTCAATTGGGCAAAATAGAAGTAAAGCGAAGAGAAATCTTCTGTTCTTTATTGGGTGATAAGGAACTTAGAATCTATAGTAACCTCGAAGTTTAAATTATCCAAAAAGGATATGGAGTATAGTGTAGTTTACCTGTAACGGTGAAATTTGTAGATAATCAAAAAGGTTTTGCTAGCTCACTCGGTAGAATGATAAATTTTAGAGGCGAATTTTCTAGATTCGAGTCCTTGCTGGACCTTTTTTTTTATTTGATTACTTATTTATTTATTATTTCTTCTCTCTATTTTCTGAGAGTTTCCTAATGTATAAACCATTTAAGATGTTCAGTACTCATGTTTTTGTTGGTATAACATCTTTTTAAGCAGGTCTCTTTTTATTTTAGTGCTTTAAAACATCGATTACTTGTTAATTGAACTTGTTACTAACACTAGTATCCTTTTGTTTGTGGACAGGCCCACAGTTTTATGTATATGAACATTGTCCTCACCGTTTTTTAATCCTTGAGTATTTCATCATTTAATAATGCACTTTCCACTTATTTTTTAATGATTTATTCATCTAGATGCTCGTTTACATATATCTTCCTATTTTATAACTAATTTACTTGCTCGTCTATCTAACAAGTCATGCATTAGTATGCCTGTTCGACTAGTTGTGTATTCATTCTTACGTTTCTACATTTGTTTGTTTATAAGTTTGAAAATTGATTTCGATAAAATGCTGCTTTTGATCAATGTCTCTTGTACGAAGACCGAGTCCGTTAGCATACTTATCTCGAAGGCGCTTGTTCAAGCTTTTGTTCTTGAAGTTTATACTGTTCAATTCACTAGTAGCGACGACAATTGAGTTTTTGGCCGTAGCCTCGAGAAATCATTTACGAGACTGAAACGATTGCTGGTCAGTTGTCTGATCATCGAGATCGAAGGCATGTCGACTTTGTGATCTTACAGTTTCATTGTGGCGGAAAAGTTAGTTGCAAAACGTACAATTTTTGTTCGCAAAATGACCACTTTTTACAGCAAAATGGTTGTTTGAGAAATAGCTGGCATCAGTTTTTTGACGTACAAAGTTGTTCGAGATGTTACCAAATTATTTGCACGCTTTTCGAACAACTTTAGTAACAAAACAACTAAATTTATTGTTCGCTTTTCGAACAATATTAGCAACAAAACAGCAATAACTTGTTTACTTCTGGAACAACTTTGGCTACAGAATAACCAAGTTTTTTGGTGCTTTAGTTACCAACATTGTTCGTAATGTCACTTGTTTTTTTAGGATTATTAGAAATTAGACGCTTATTATAAATGGAAAAAAACGATACTTTTATTGAGAAATAGCAAAAGAAAAGAAGCACTACTTTAATCTAATAAAAACAAAAGTATACAAGCGAGGCAAGAGTGTTAAATGAGCAATTCGCTTTGTCATTCGGAATTGAGACAACACTGATAGACACAGAAAATAATTTGTATGTAGTATATGGCTTTTCTAATAATGAAAAAGGAAAAAACCACCATCTTGCTATCCATCAAACTTACCTGACAAAGTGCATGTCTTGTACGGATAAATAGTCAATTCCTTTAGAAGGGCATTCTTTTTTGAGAGAAAAAAAGTTAGTTTTGAGTATATTGAAGGTGTGTAATAACATATCAAACTTACTATAAATCAAGAGACAGCAAGAACTTGTTTTGGAATCTAGAAAATAAAAGGCGCTATGTTAGCTTTCAAGTAGCAAAAATAGAACAATTTATAGATTAAACATACTTTGACTTTGAATGAAAGCAGACTAATCTCATCTAAACATATAGAACAAACAAACTAATTGAATTAGAACAAGGCAATGTCTAAACTCTCTTCCAAAACAACACTCACCAGTACCAGGACCAGGCGATGTGACATTTCATGTCAAAACTTGGAACAAAAAGAAAACAAGTAGCTCTTATATGTTTACTTACACTCTAACTCTGGTTTCGACTTTTGTTTTTTATCTATATAAAGGCCCAATAGTATATCGATTTTTGTCTATGGCTATGTTAGAGAAAAAGAAACTTTACTGCGGAAAATGCGTTCTTCCATACCAATCAAAGAGGAGCGCAGCAATTCTTCAGATTGTTAAAAAAGCGCTGGAAGTATTGTCTACTTCTTAAGACGAGTAAGCCCATGAGTCGATGTTATGCAGTCATAAGGTTTCAGAGAGTTTAAGCTTCTGGATGTAGGTTAAATTCAGGAGCTGTGAACTTTATCTATAATACAAACGTTTTAAGAGAAGGTGATGGAAAAAAAATTGTTTTATTATTTAAGGTCGTGACTATTTTTTGTTACTTCTTCTTATACGCTTAGACTTGGCTGATTGGCTTTTGTCTTCATTGCGTTTGCCCCTTTCCTTAGGTTGAGAAGAGGGAAGAGGTGGAGAAGGAGAACAAGGACGACAGTTGTTTTCCATTCCGAAAAAATGTCATCTTCAGAATCCTCAAATTCATCACCACAATATAGGTTTGCGTACTCCAAAGAAGGCTCCTTAATTCGAAGAGATTCAACACTAACTTGGTTTTCACTGTATAGTTTTGACTCATCTTAGGCATTTCAAAGTTTCATTGAATGCATGTTTTGCGTTTGTTATACCTGGTCCTTGAGTTATTCTCTCTTTCAACAACAGAAGCCTTATTTCTTGCTCTATTACTTCTGTGCTTGTGTGTTTCGAAGAGCAATAGACCGGCTGCCCAAGAATGCTGACATCTTTGAAGAGGAAAGCCATGAGTAGCTGCATTGCTTTCAAGCTTAAATGTGTATTTTGCGATTAGAGCAGAAGGCACTTCAGACCGTAAAGGCAACACAGCTGCTTTGTCATTCTTCTTCAAAGCTTTCAGCAGCTCTAACTTCATTTCATCGTGGGTTTTTCTTGCGGTCGTTTTGAGGATTCCCTAGTCATTCTCATTCGCTTTGTCATCAATTAAAAGATCAGTGATATTTCTTTCTTTCTTAAATAAGTTGACCAGGGCAAGCAAACGCAACCGTGGCGTAACATATCTATGTTTTCCATGAGAGCCGAATGCTTTTGTTGCTTCCTCAAGTGCTCTAGGAATGTCCCAAAAGCCCATCAAGTTTGGATTAAGAGAGTTGGCAATACCGCCTTCTCTTGCTACATTTTCCAAAAAAAAATAAAAATTTATACATATTTTAGAGAAATAGCTTGTTTTTTTTACCTTGTTGAGCTGCTTCAAGAACTTCACTGTTGATCTCATCACTATCACCTAGCAAAAGAGGGTGCTAATAAATGCATCAATCCCTTACGTATTTGAGTCTGTGATTCGGTTTTTTGTTCGAGTTGGGAAACTTGTTGTTGCATTTGAGTGATTTTGTAAATAGTCGTTTGGCTCATATTTGTAAGACAGAAAGACAATTGCAAGAAAAACCAAAAAGCTATTTTTGCTAAAAAAAACCCAAACAATTATTAAATATTCAACATAACTCAATATACTCTTTTTGGATGAGTCTCATATCAAACTCTTAGGAGTGCATCAACGTATTGCATTGTGCAAACCTTTTTTTTTTGTTTTTTATAAGAAACATTATTAGTATTATTGTACTTGTAAAAAAAAATAAAGAATTCTTCTTGCTCATTGTGGTGATCTGAGCACTTTCAATACAAAATATAATAAATAATCTCTCATCATATAAATGAATAATCACTTATAGCACTATACATTATAAATATAAAGTAAGCACTGTATAATGACAGTAAATAACGGTAACTGGGATAATATGGATATTTACAAATAAGGAAACCATAATTGTACCTTTTAGGTAGCAAGGAGAATTAAAGGAGAATCTATATAATCAATTCCCAGGCACACGCTGTCAAGGTGTTAAGTAATCAATAATCAGTAATCATAATTAGTCAATAAATCAGGTAGTATAAAAGACAACCTGGAAAAAATATATTTTAGACAACAATCAAATTATTTGGTAATAAAGAAATACTGAACAGTCTCACTGTATTTCTTTGTTTTCTTTCTATCTTCTATTATATCTTCATTCACAACCCAAACATCACACTCATAAAGCTACTATTATTTTCGCAGTACTTCTATTGTTGGCAAAACGAACAAGTTTGTTCCCCACAAACAAGAAAATCAATGATCTTAAATGATATGACTTGCTTTTTAGAAAAATAAAATAAAAGTTGTTGACATTTCGAACAACATTGGCAAAAAAGTTACTTTTTCTTGTTTGTTTTGCGAACAATATTAGTAAAGTCAAACAACTAATCCGCCATAGTGTGGAGAACGAAATATTGCTCACGGCTACCCTCAGGGCAGAAAAGATTTGGATGGAGAAAAGCGAGCAGAATGTAGGTTACTCTAAGCACTTGGAAAAAAGTCGTAATAGTGAACACCAGTTCAACACGATCAATCATCCAGTTACTAATGTGAAATGTACTACTACCAAAGACAAATTGGAAGCAGTTCAGGTCTTCTACCAGGATCTTTATTCGGCCAAAACAATACAACGTCGATTTTTGAACTCCCTCATATCCAACGTTACTTCCAAGGTAAGCAGCTCAGCCTCCAATGGCATATGTTCTGCCATTCCTTTTGTCGACACTGTTGAGGGATTAAAACAATGTCCAAAACAAAGCAGCCCTGGTAGAGACAGATTACCTTATTCCATCTTAAGGCTTATTGTAGAGCATCCTAATTGTTAAGATTTGGTCACTAGAGTGTATGATGACGCGATTACCGAATCCGTCTTTCCTCAGTTTTGGCTACAAATCTGCATCACATTACTGCTCAAGAAAGGAGATTTAGCAAACCTAGCTAACGGGCGACCAATCTCCCTTATTAATACTGATTGCAAAGCGTTTATAAGGATACTCAACATCAGAGTCCTACAGGCTTCCAACACCATTATAAATCACTTTCAAGCCTGTTTTATGCCCGGTAGATTTATCGGTGATCACGGAATTGCAGTGAAGATTATAATGGAAGATGCAAAGAAATGTGCTCATAAAGGTATCGGTGTTGCCATCGACAGTGCCAAGGCATATGACTACATTAACGAAGACTATATCTACGCCGTCCTGGATAAGTTTGGTTTCCCTCAAACATTCATCACGACAATCCGAAACTTAGTTTTCAGAAACATTATTGCGATCAATATGAATGGATTCCTCTCAGACAGCGTTAGACAGCGTCGTGGACTTCGTCAAGGGGACTCTATTTCGCCTGTCCTGTTTAACTATGCTCTGGAGCCTTTGTTGCTTACTATCTTGAATGTCAATCGTATCCGAGTATATTCAATTGCTGCTCAAACATCCAAACCTTTTTTACAAATGTTTACACCTAGACCCATCAAACTGCTCGCTTATACTGATGATCTTCTGGTCTTTGCTAATGATGTGGACGAGCTCAAACCCTTCCAAGAGCACCTCCAATGTTACAGTAAAGCATCAAACGCAAGAGTGAATTATCATGAATCGGTTGCATTCCCACTGTCGGGTCGATCTCGCTCATTATCTGATACGTTTCATCGACGCATTAGACAATTACAGTCTCAATAGTTTGATGCTAACAATCCTTCTTACCTTTGTTACCTTGGTTATCCTCTCTGGTTTACTACCATTCATCGAGATACGTTCTGCAATGAAGCCATCCAAAAGCTGCAATATGTTATCGAACGGTACAAGTTTAGACAAGTCCCTGTCTATGGTCAAGCAAAACTGGCCAACTCTATCCTACTATCTCGTTTTTGGCATGTTCTTTGTTTCACTGCTCTACCGGCATACTTTCACACCAAGATCTCTTCCATGATTTATAAGTTCGTTTGCCAAGGAATTTCCCCCCTTTGTGTAAGACTACTATTTACCATCCACTACTTGCTGGTGGCCTATCTGTGATGGACATATCCTCAAAACAGAAAGTCTTGCAATACAGATATATCAGATCTCTCCTTTACAACGATTGCAATGATCGCCCAATCCCTGATTTTCTCTTCCAGCTCCTCGTCTCCTACATTCAAATAGCCTTTGATTGTCCATATCACGAAGTACCCTTGCTTTTCCCAAAGGCTTGTAAGCCCACTCGTCTCTCCGGGTTGCTCACGCTTTCAGCCATACTCAAAGCAATTGATGATTGTCCACTCTCCTCCTCATGGGATGATATAGCCCTCAGCTTGCCTGTTTGTCTAGAAATGCCTTTTGTTGACTTGTGTCAAGTTGATCATACAGTCTCGGACATTCTCGACAATGCTACTATTCGAATACAAAAAACTTCTTACTTTCTGCAGGTTGACCCTAATTCAGGATTTCTCCGCTTCAAAACACGTAAAGAATGCAACATCCTAGGCTTACTGTCTCGGATTTTCAAGGTCTACAAAGATGGTAAACAACTGTTTCTACCCTTCATGTAAGACCCTGTGACTCAATCAACTGATCCTTGTCACCCAGTATCTTACGAGTCGTATCTACTACAGCTTGTCTTCAATGAATGCTCAGTTTTCGATCTCAACAACTCTGATCTCCGTCAAATGTATCTGCGAGATATTCCTTCCATTCAATCATTGAACCCTACTCGTTTCAAGCGTTTCCTTCAGATATTAATCCCAGGTTGTACCAAGAACCTCTGGTATCGCCTTTTACATAACAAGATCTCTTGAAGATCGATAAATGCCACTATCTTGCAACTACCAGATGATAAGTGTGGATTCTGTGGTCTAACATAGACTCCCGAACACATGTTGTTTACATGCAGGGCCAACAAAGACACCTGGACAAATGCTATCAATTTGTTCTTCAAGCACTCTTCTCGCTTCTCTCTTTCCCAGCTTTATCTAGATGTAATAGCTTTGAACATCGATCATTACCAACTATTAGATACACATTTTCGCCTCAATTGGTTTGAAGTTTGCTCTGCTGTCTTCTCTTCTATTTGGAACGCGTACTGGCGCCACCACTTTAATGCTCACGTTTATGATGGTTTAGTTATACTTGACGACGCCATCAAAACTATACGAAAATTATCCGCTTTTTAATATTTGTAAATTCTGCCTTTTTGTGATAAGTCACTGCTTCTAACACCTGTTCTTTTTTTAAATATATCCCCCTATTCGATGAGTCAATAAAATAAATCTTCATCCAAAATAAAATAACAGAATAAAAAAGGTGCAAGGCTTCAAAAAAAAATCAAATACATATAGTAAAATGGTAATCTTATTTAAATAGATCAAAATGAACCTTTATCGTTACTTGTTACTTAGGAATCATACTATTTTCAATGGCAATTTCCTACTGTCCAGCAACAATAGAATGTTCGCTCGTGGCTTTCAACCTCTTGTCTAAGAGGAATGTCAATGAACAACTCTTTCTGCTTTGATACTATTTACAGCATCTCAACTAGAGGCGAAGAAGTGCTGTACAGTCTTGTTGTTCGGGATTCCAAAACTCAAGGAGTTTACCCTGTTGCTTTTCTAATCGCAAATGATAAAACTGTTGGCCCACTCAGTCAATGACTAACATTCTAAAGCAAGAAGATACGTTCGCTCCTGATGCAATCACCATTGGTTGCTGTGTCGCAAACTTAACGTCATTCGCAACGCATTGGAGGGCGTCAACTCTCCTTACTGTGGATTCCATGCCCTCAAACCTTGGAAAAAAGCATTGAATTGCAAGGTCAAATTAAGTGAAGCTCACATTAAAAAAAAGGGCAAATCCATAAGAAGCAGCTGGAAGAGCTACGCAGTCAGCTTCTTTATGATGTTTAAGTAGCGTCGTTCATCGAGCCGATTGCTTAGTTTGGAAGAAGGTTAAAAAAAATAAACAATCAGGTTTTGTGGACTACTTCCAAAGCGGTTGGACGCGAATTGAGGAGCTGAAAGGTCTATAGAGTGAAGCATACATGCCTGAGACACACAGAGATATGCTCACTAACAATTACATTGAGTCATCGAATTACCAGCTTAAAACGGAGTATTTTAGTAAACACAGATTTAATCGACCATATTATTGAGCTTTTGCCTTGGTTGATGACGTTGCGCTTTTTTCTGCAGAGGGAAGCAAACATATCTTGTTCAACAATGGCAGGAGGAAGTCGAAACAATACGAGCAAGCTAAGCGTTCATTTTCTGCTTGTGAGGTCTCTCCTGACCAATTGCCTTCTCTTACTGAAAATCCATTGAGAACGAACAGCAGTACTGTTGCTGTCTCTAATAGGAATATGTTTATGAGTAGCTTAACTTCCTGATCTGTCAAGTACTCTTTCAGTGTCAGTGATGGCATAAGCAGCATATTTATCTTATAAAAACATACAACTGCCTCGCTCTGAGGTATGAGAAAGAAAGAGTTGAAAAATGAAAGCTTTAGAGAGCAAAAGGTCGAAGAAGTAGATGAAGCTGCTTAATGGTAAAAGTGAGATTCGAAGCCTATATAGATTTCTTAGATGAAGATGAAACCACTAGTGTGAACACTCAGCTGTAGATTTTGTTTGCATTCGACGATGTCGATGCTGCCTTTGTGTTCAAGTGATATTAGAGATTATGATGAAGAAGAAAGAACAGCAAGGCAAGAGCTGGATGCTATATTTGAGCAAGCCGAGACTCTGATGTCAACCTTGCATCGTAAAAGAAGGAAGGCGTAGGAATTAAAAAGTGCTCTTCTCGCTACATACTGAAGAGAGGAATTTGTCAATTTGTTGCGCCTCACTTTACAAAAAGTAGACGAAGCTGCGGCTGCAAATGCTGCTCTTGTTAAAATGTTAAAAGGCTACTTCAACAGAAGCTTTTAGAAGGCTCTATAGAGGTTTCTTTTCCAATAGAGCCGGATGTAAATCGGATGAAGTGTCGTCCTTGACAATTTATTCATCTTGTAATATTGCGGTATGAGTTATTTTAATTCTAAAAGTCGTCATTGTTCTTCATTGTGACTTTTGTAATAGACGAAGAGAAAAATAATTTCGTTTATTTTTTTGTAATCTATCTAAAGCACAATTTCTAAGCGTCATACAAAATCAAGAGTAAACTTAGGTATTCATCTAGGGGAATCCCTGAATAAAAAAGAATCCTCAGAAACACGTCCACTTTCAGAAATTCTGTTTTACAATTACCATGAGCAACAAACTCCCCAAACTGTACACAAATAAAACCTATACTACTTAAAAGGTGAAGAAAACAAAATGTAACGTTGAACAAAAAGTGGCCTTTTAGTTGCATTCATTCAATTATCGCACCATTTGTAGGAGACAGCTGCACATGCGTACAAGAACTGCAATAAAACGGCAGTTTGTAAAGCCAGATATGTAAGTAAACACTATCAACTGTAAAGTAAAGCATAGAAAATAGCTAAATTTCTTATAGAAATAATTAAATATTTTTTTAGAGTGATTAGTCTACGCATTTGGCTGAATTTCTAGTAAAATTTCTTTATTTTCTTTTTAATTTAAAAAATTAAACAAATTTCTTAAAAAAAAAATTTTTTTTTTAAAAAAATTTATTAATTAAAATTTTTTTTTCAAATTTTTGTCTAAACATTTTTTAATTTTTAACAGTTTCCAAAAAAAATTTTTTAATTTAATAAAAATTGCATTGCGTATAAAGTTTTAAACTTTTTTAAATTTAAAATTGAAATATTATTTTGTTTAAAAAATTATTTTAGATTTTTTGAAAATTTGCTTTAACTGTTCAATAAACATTGCTTTTTTTTTTTTTTACAAAAGTTGTTTTAGAAAACTTTCTATTAGTTTTTGTTACAAACAATCTCTATCTATATTGTTAATAAAAAATGTTATACATTTGGTAGAAACTTTTGTCGGCAGATAAATTTTCTTCTTTTTCCTTGATATTTTTTCGTTCCATTTGACTAGAATTTCTTGAATGCTATTGAAGAGATGTTATGTGGTGCCTATGCCAGAGATTTGTTAAGGGGTCATATTCACTTTTCGTTAAGGCAGTTTTGGTTACCGTTTTCTTCAAGAATAAGCTATATCGGTTTGAATGTTCATTAGAATTAATGCAAACTGTGTGACTATTGGCTGGACCACCGATGAAATTTTATCGACCTTTTTCTGTCATGACATTGGCTAGATTGACGTTAAATTGCCGACGCAGCTAATCAGCAATGCCTATGAGCTTTTTATCATGAACTTTGATATTCGCCTTCACAGACTTACCTTCCCTTTCTGCTTCCCCCAGCCATTCTGTTTCTCATGACAAATACCATCATGCTTTAAATCAAGGCCCTCTTGTGTGGGAGCTCAAAACCACTTGAGTTTACCTTCAGAACTTGATACAGATCTTCAATGCCTCACTTCGTTACAAAGACAGTTTTGCCAAGCGCATTTGACGTAACTCTTGGAATTGTCTTCGCAGAGAGCTGCAAATCAAGATGAAATCATTGCAGTCAGCATTTAAGCATTCTTCACCAATGCATCTATTTGCAAAAGATGTAAGCAAAGTGGTACAACATGAAGGTCAGATACAGAGAGTTGCTTGCTCATAACAAAATGACTAGTTCTTGTGGTGGTGGTGCTCCCCAAAATTAGTACGAGTTTTGTAACGAAATTAGTAAAGTCATCGCTAATGAGAGGGTCATCGATCTAAAAGTATTAATAGGGACACAAATTAACAACGTACCTGTTGCTCTTGCAGAGTATTCTTTACAGGCGGCGGTAGCCCAAAAGCCAAATCGCAAGGCAGTGTTCAAAGCGATGGTAATGGCATGCACAGAGGTGTCATCGTTTTGCATAATAGTCGCTCAACTTTTGAAACGATAATAAGCATTCCCTCAAAATGGTAACCTTGTACGTCGTAGCAGTAGAAGAAACAATTGCATAGCCTGATAATAATATGTTTTGTAGTAGGTCTTCTTTGCCTTCATAAATATAAATTAAGCCTTGTATAATGACAGTAAATAGCGGTAACTGGGATTATATGGATATTTACAGATAACAAAACCATAATTGTACCTTTTAGGTAACAAGGAGAATTAAAAAAGAATTTATATAATCAATTCCCAGGCACAAGCTGTCAAGGTGTTAAGTAATCAATAATCAGTAGTTATAATTAGTCAAAAGATCAGGTAATATAAAAGACAACCTGGAAAAGATATATTTTAGACAAGAATCAACTATTTTTGTAATAAAGAAGTACTGAACTATCTTGTATTCACTATGGCGGAAAAGTTAGTTACAAAACGTACAACTTTTGTTCGCAAAATGACCACTTTTTACAGCAAAATGGTTGTTTGAGAAATAGCTGGCATCAATTTTTCAACGTACAAAGTTGTTCGAAATGTTACCAAATTATTTGTACGCTTTTCGAACAACTTTAGTAACAAAACAACTAAATTTATTGTTCGCTTTTCGAACAATATTAGCAACAAAACAGCAATAACTTGTTTACTTCTGGAACAACTTTGGCTACAAAACAACCAAGTTCTTTGGTGCTTTAGTTACCAACATTATTCGTAATCTCACTTATTTTTTTAGGATTATTAGAAATTAGGCACTTAATATAAATGGAAAAAAAACGATACTTTTATTGAGAAATAGTAAAAGAAAAGAAGCACTACTTTAATCTAATAAAAACAAAAGTATACAAGCGAGGCAAGAGTGTTAAATGAGCAATTCGCTTTGTCATTCGGAATTGAGACAACACTGATAGACACAGAAAATAATTTGTATGTAGTATATGGCTTTTCTAATAATGAAAAAGGAAAAAACCACCATCTTGCTATCCATCAAACTTACCTGACAAAGTGCATGTCGTACGGATAAATAGTCAATTCCTTTAGAAGGGCATTCTTTTTTGAGAGAAAAAAAAGTTAGTTTTGAGTATATTGAAGGTGTGTAATAACATATCAGACTTACTATAAATCAAGAGACAGCAAGAACTTGTTTTGGAATCTAGAAAATAAAAGGCGCTATGTTAGCTTTCAAGTAGCAAAAATAGAACAATTTATAGATTAAACATACTTTGACTTTGAATGAAAGCAGACTAATCTCATCTAAACATATAGAACAAACAAACTAATTGAATTAGAACAAGGCAATGTCTAAACTCTCTTCCAAAACAACACTCACCAGTACCAGGACCAGGCGATGTGACATTTCATGTCAAAACTTGGAACAAAAAGAAAACAAGTAGCTCTTATATGTTTACTTACACTCTAACTCTGGTTTCGACTTTTGTTTTTTATCTATATAAAGGCCCAATAGTATATCGATTTTTGTCTATGGCTATGTTAGAGAAAAAGAAACTTTACTGCGGAAAATGCGTTCTTCCATACCAATCAAAGAGGAGCGCAGCAATTCTTCAGATTGTTAAAAAAGCGCTGGAAGTATTGTCTACTTCTTAAGACGAGTAAGCCCATGAGTCGATGTTATGCAGTCATAAGGTTTCAGAGAGTTTAAGCTTCTGGATGTAGGTTAAATTCAGGAGCTGTGAACTTTATCTATAATACAAACGTTTTAAGAGAAGGTGATGGAAAAAAAATTGTTTTATTATTTAAGGTCGTGACT